AAAACGGAAGAGCACGGCGAAAATTATGGCGATCGAATCAAACCGTCACCTAAGTTTAGAATGAGAGGGGAAAGGAAAGGAGCATGCATGCTTTCCCTCAAAAGCTTAATTCTGGACATATGCTGACCATACAACCCATCACCCTCCCCTAGACATGGCCACGGTTCAGGAACCGGCGGTTCCGGTTCGTGGCCATGTATGAACCGGAACCGAAACCGCAAGGGGGCGGTTCCGGTTCGGAACCGGCGGTTCCGGGCCGGTTCCGGTTCCGACTGGTTCCGGTTCAAGGGGGGAGGAGGAGAAAAGGGGAGGAGGCGCAGGGTAGCGAGGGGGGAGGAGGAGGGGGCGTCGGCGTCGGCGTCGGCGGCTGCGGCCATGGGCAGGGGCGACGGCGGCGGAGGAGAAAAGGAGAGGACCGGAGGAGGCGCAGGGGAGAGGGGGGAAGGAGGGACCGACCATGACGAGAACCTTGCTGTCGGTCCGCGAGAGGAGCTCGGAGGCGAGGCCCGAGACTCAGGCGGTGCGGTATAGGGTCAACACGGTGGCGTCCGCGGTGGCGAGGGGCTGGCCGGTGAGGGAGCTGAAGAGGACGAAGACGGCGTGGACCCGGCAGTTCGGCAGGAGGAGTTGCTCGGGAAGTGGGTCACGAGCTTGACGCCGATGTAAGGGAGGGAAGGGTGGGAGGACCAAGAGGGCATGAGGAGGAGGGAGGCGGAGGGGGCGGCGGCAGCGGCGATGGCGGAGAGGGGGTGGGAGTGGCAGAGAGGGGTGTGGACGGAGGAGGAGAGGTTGGAGCGGAAGTGGCGGATGAGGGACTGGTGGGAGAGGAGGGCGTGGAGGACTGGAGGAGGTGGGCGTGGGTGGGGGTGGCCCGGTGGGAACGTGTCAACGTGGGGCTGCAGGCAGCAGCAGTTTTTTTTTTTTTTTGAACCGGGCCCGGAACCGCCGGTTCCGGACCGTTCCAAAATTATTGGAACCGGAACCGGGCCCGTAGGCCACGGGCCGGTTCCGGTTCCGAACCGCAGGCTCGGTCAACGGGCCGATCCCGGGTTTGACCCGGGCCGGTTCCGGGCCAAAACCGGCCCGTGGCCATGTCTACCCTCCCCCACCTAATTGCCAGGCCACCGCTCATCGTCTATGATTTCAAGTCAAAAGTGAATTTTATTTCGCTTTTATAACGGGGGCGAAACCCGTGAATTGACACTCCTCCTTCAGTGACCCGAAGCACAAGATCCGCTGCGGTACCAACCAGCCATTTTCAACGTCAAATTTCATACAGCTGTTCTCATTCACCAAAACTCATCCTCTGCTTCGCTTCTAATCTAACCTTAGGTCAATTTGATTACCCAATGTTGGCTTGAAAGCTAAAAAAACTCGACTCTTTCGTCACGTGAACAAATCGTTCTTGTTCGTTTAAAAAAATATTAACTTGTCAATGCACGTATGAAATTTGTAGGACCAATGTCAACTGTCCTATAAGCTTAAACTTGTAAATGAAAGCGTGACTTACTATGTTGGGTCATACTCCCCATCTACAGAAAAGCATGGGAGTCACGCTCCTCGATGAGCGGGTGGGGGTTCAAGGGGCCACCTCGGCGGGGGTCGTAGGGGGCAGCAGCCCCGAGATGCCAATGAGTTTTTATAATTTGGGTATGTATTTTAATAATGATTTGGGTTTGGGCTCACGGGTATCTATCGAGTATCTATAACATTTTTCTCTTTATAATTAAGAGATGTAACAAAGAGGTAGGAAACGCTAAATATAGTAGAATCATCTACTTAGACGTAGCCCTAGTGAGTCTTAATTTCTCTTTCTTGTTTTTACTCTCTTTTTTATTGTGTTTGTGCGACTCATCCTAACATGACTTAACCGGATAACCTAGAGTCCAGCCTAAGACTAAAGCGCGGGAACGATGTAAATGAAGAGCCTGGAAAGATTTGAACCTGGAGATCTCCTGCTCGAATACCACGTGTAATAGGCCGCCACCAACTGTTCGAATCGAGCTTGTAGATGAATGCGCGGTTTAAATGCTCGGACAACGCGCACGCGCGGTGCCGTGCGCTTGTTCGAGGTTCGGTTTGTATCGCGGAGGAACGAAAGGAAACAACCATAAAATAGAAGAAAGGAAACAGCCAAATGGTCTCTCTCTCTCTCTCTAATCTCTATCGAGTTGGTCATTCACATATAGAAAGAAACACACCAAAAAACTGGTCTCCATCTCCATTGTCGCAATCCCTTTGCCACTGTCAGTGTCCACAACAGCATCTGCTTTCATTAGGATCCAAACCAGAAATGAAAAGAAGAAGAAGAAGGAGAAAGAAAGCAAGTGGATGATCATGAAATTTTTAAATGATTAAATTTTTTGTTGTAGACCATGTAAACTTCAAAATAAAGTTTTCCAATTTCTAGAATATTTTTCATAAAACAAGCTTTTATTTTTTTTTATGGGTTAATACCACGGAAAACCACACACCCGTGACAAATTTACCCAAAACTAATTTTTTGACTATGAAAAACCTCAAACCAGTACACATGTGACCAATTTACCACAAACTAAATTTTTTACCACGAAAAAACCCCAAACTTGTACACCCGTGATAAATTTACCCAAAACTAATTTTTTGATCACCAAAAACCCTAAATTGATAATCATGTAACAAATTTACCCTCCGTTAGCGAACCAATTTGGGGTTTTTCCTATGAATTTCCCCGTGGATTTGCCACGTCACCATACCTCATCGCCATGTGTCATCCATGTCATCAAATTTAATGGTAAAATTCGACGGAAGTTAATGAGGGGTAAATTTGTCACGGATCTACAGGTTCGGGGTTTTTGTTGGTCAAAAAATTAGTTCGGAGTAAATTTATCACAGATATACCGGTTTGGAGTTTTCCGTGATATTAACCCTTTTTTTTTTAATATTGACGGGCCATTTGAAATTTTCAAATTTTAACTTACGGGACGACTTATAAAAGGCAAGGACAAAAAGGCCCGGTTGCTGCCAAAAAGACAATTACATCTTGGACCAACCTGGTTTGCCAGGTAAGATCGATCGAAAAAGGCTAGGAATCTCTCCCTCCATCTCTTATTCAAAAATTGAACAAAGTACGAAAGAATAAAAGGTGCATGCCCAATATAATATGGGTGTACCTACCTTTGGAAATTCGTTTTTTTTTAAAGGAAAATTATTTTCCGCTCTAGAATTAGATTTCATCAAACATAAGAATTAACTTTATCTGGAGCTTAAAATATTTCCTTTTTCTACTGGCGAAAGATAAAGGCTTCCTTTATCTGTTGAGTTCTCTTCCGATTCAAATGTAAAGCAATCCGTGAATCGAATCCGAACCGAACTCTAGAATTAGACTTCATCAGACATAAGAACGGCTTATTTGGGGCTTAAAATACTTCCTTTTCTAATCGGCGAAAGATTAAAGCTTCCTTTATTTGTTTGAGTTCTCTTCCGATTCAAATGTAAAGCATTCCGTAAATCGAATTCGAACCGAACCGAAACGACATGCTTGGTATGAGTTTTGGGCCGGAGGCATATGCTTTTGTGTTTGAAAACGTCTTCGGATCGAAAACGGACCGGATCTTGACATCGAGCAAACGCTCCCTTTCGATCGGGGGGGGATCTCCCGGGGACTTCCACTTCGACGACGGGATTGTAAGAAACTCGTGGAGTTAAAAAGATCCCGCCTTTTTTACCAACCGTCTCTTGCCGGCCGAGACGAAACGACACAAATTCTTTCCGAACTTTCCCACGCGGTGACGCCCATGTCGTGCGAATTTTCTTTTCTTTTTTTATTTTGAAGGAAAAAAAGACATTTTCATAGCAATAAACATAATGCCAAAAAGTTGACCCAAAAAAAAAAAACATAATGCCTAATGCATTATGCAATACCGTTTATAAAAAAAAAAATTCAGTTCATTTCATTTTCCAGGCATTACAATAATTCGTCAACAAAATCAATCACAAGGGACCACCCCCACCCCCCGCTTCCGATGCCAAAAGGGTTACTGCCACGTCACCCTCCCCCCCCAACAAACCCAAACCAAACCCGCCCCTTCTCTCTCTCTCTCTCTCTCTCTAGAGAGTCACATGTCGCGAGTCGCGGGAAGAAAGGAGGAGCAGCAGCAGCACGAGCAAAAACAGTTTCATCGCGAGCCCCCTCCCTGAAAATCCCACCATAAGTACGCGCACGCGCTCTCCCCCACCCCCTCCCTCCTCCTCCTTCTCCTCCTCCCATCTCCACCCTCATTAAATGCCTCCCCCTCCCCCTCCTCCTGTGTCGGTTACTCCCGACGACTGACCGAATAGCCGACGCCCATTGATGACGCGGCGCCGTTGCGCCGCCTGAGCTTCCCCCCCCCCCCCTCCGCCGCCGCATTCGCGTCGGTTACCGGTCCGGCCTTCTTCCCCCACCCCCCCCCCCCCCCCCCCTGCGCGCGGCTCTCTCTCGCCTCCGCTCTCCCTCCGAGCTCGAGAGGTTTTTTTGGCTCTCCTCGTGTTGTCCTCTTCCTCGAGCGGCTCGGTCCTCCGGCGAGCCGTTTTCGGGCGGGTGGAACGGGAACGAGTTGATCGGTGGTGGTGGTGGTTCGCGGCACGAAGCGGTGCTCCTCCGTTCAAATCCGAAGGAAAAGCGGAAAAGCGAGAGGAAGCGGGCGAAAGCGAGGCTTGTGAGTTTCGCTCTACTTCGCTCCTTACCGGCATCCCTTTTTTGGTCCCCCCTCGTTTCTTTCGAGTTCTCTTCTACTAGCCTTCGCACCTCGCGGAGCCTCTCGGTTTCTTCAACGGGGGGCCGAGCTTCGTTCCTGGGTCCTCCTCACGAGAAGCTCCTCGGTTTTCGCCATCCTCTCGCGGAAAAAGCTAGAGAACAAAAAGGAAGCTCGGTTTCTGGTGTTGCGTAGCCTTTTCAATCTTTGCAGGTTTTTTAAACTATACTACTTTTGACCGCCCCCCCGCATTATTCAAAGCCCGCTTCTGCTGCTGCTTCTCCTCCTTCTTTATGCGCAAATATTCGTTCAGTCGCGAAAACTTTCTGGGAATCCGAAACCTTTTTCCTTCCCTCACATTCCCTTTGAAATGCTTGTCGCTTCAAACTTGAATGTAGGGTTCGTTCCGGCCTGCTGAACCCATTGGCGTGGAAGGGCGAGCGGTGGGGTATTAGCAGAAACGGGTCTCCGGGGTTGGCGAGAGGGAGGGAGATGATGATGGGTGCTCTCTGCATCTTGTCTTCGGTCTTGCTCGTTGCCCTGAGCGCGGCGCGGGCGAATGCCGACTTGGCGGGCGACAAGCAAGCCCTGCTCGATTTTGCCAACAATCTGCCGCACTCTCGGTATCTGAACTGGACCGAGAGCTCCCCTGTTTGCAACAACTGGATTGGCGTGACTTGCGATAGAGATGGGTCCAAGGTAATTGCCTTGAGATTGCCCGGCGTCGGATTTCACGGCCCGATTCCGGCCAATACGCTCGGCCGCCTTTCGGATTTGCAGATCCTCAGCCTCCGATTGAACGCTATAACCGGGGATTTTCCGTCCGATTTCGCCAAGTTGAAGAACCTGTCGTATCTCTATCTCCAGTCCAACAAGTTCTCCGGCCCTTTGCCTCAGGACTTCTCCGTTTGGAAGAACTTGACTGTTGTGAATCTTTCCAACAATGCCTTCAATGGAAGCATCCCTTCCTCGCTCATGACCTTGACTCAGCTAGCTGCTTTGAACCTTGCCAATAATCTCCTTTGTGGCGAGATTCCTGATCTCCAACTGCCGCAGCTGCAGCTGTTAAATTTGTCCAATAATAATCTGCACGGTAGTGTTCCAAAGTCACTCCAGAGATTTCCTAGCTCAGTTTTTGCTGGAAACGACCTTTCCTTTCCAAATTCTACTCCTCCTCCTCCTCCTTTTATTTCACCTTCTCCTGGACTTCATCCAAGGTCCCAGAATCCTAGGATGCTCAACGGCACGGCATTATTAGCAATCATCATCGCAGGTTGTCTCTTGGCACTTGCTTCAGTGGGCATTCTTCTTTTCATTTGTTGCTCGAAAAGGAAAGGTGAAGAAAAGTATTCAGGAAAGTTGCAGAAGGTCAGAATGTCGCCTGAGAAAGCTATTTCAAGGAGTCAAGATGCGAACAATAGGCTGGTTTTCTTCGAGGGATGTAACTATGCATTTGATTTGGAGGACTTATTGAGGGCTTCTGCTGAAGTACTTGGAAAGGGGACTTTCGGTATATCTTACAAGGCTATTTTGGAGGATGCAGTTACCGTGGTGGTGAAGAGGCTGAAGGAGGTTAGTGCTGGCAAGAGAGAGTTCGAGCAACAGATGGAAATTGTTGGGGGCATTAGGCATGACAACATTGTTGAGCTGAAAGCTTATTACTACTCCAAAGATGAGAAGTTAATGGTGTATGATTACTACAGTCAGGGGAGCCTCTCTACTCTTTTACACGGTATGCTTCTTGGTTGCACGTGTTTCTACTTGCTCGGTTTTTCATTGCCTCCACTTTACTTCGGTCGGTTTGCCCTAGGAATTTCCTGGTATTGCAATCTACTCACTATGAGCATGTCTTATGTGCATATTTTACTTGTTGAGAGGTTTTTTTTTTTTTTTGGGTCGGAGTTGAGAGGTTTTTTTAGTGAAATTTTTCCTTTTCTGATGCTGACTGCTAGTTGGTGTGTTTCCACCAACATGGGGAGCTAATGACTAAAGAGTATATACCATCTACAAGCCATGGAGTTCTAAATGGCTTCTTGTAGTTAACCAGGCTACTTGATATAATCTGCTCAACATCTCTAGTGTCTGTGAATGCTCTCCACTGAAGATTTTTGGGCAGAAAGGAAATGATGTGGAGAGAGAGATTGAATTCGGAATGGAAAACATAGTGTGCACTTGTGATTTATATCAGAAATTTAAATCTCGGTTTGCTCAACAGGTGAATAAAACTTTTCTTTCCTTCGAGGGAAAAAACTTGTCAGTGTTATGTCAATGCCATTAAGCGATGCATTTACTGTCCAGTATAATAACTATGCCGCTATTTCATTTTCTTGAGAGTTAAATTTTTCCCAGGGGTTTTATCACCCAGTGCCTTTGCAACTTTGCAGGTAAGATGGGCGAGGATAGGACCCCTCTAGACTGGGATAGCAGAATGAGAATAGCCCTTGGGGCAGCGAGAGGCATAGCTCGTGTCCATTTGGAGAACAACGGGAGACTTGTACATGGAAACATCAAGTCATCTAACATCCTTATCAACCCACAACAGTATGGCTGTGTTTCTGATCTTGGTCTGGCCGCTGTAATGAGTTCCCTAGCTCCACCCATTTCCCGAGCTGCTGGTTACCGAGCACCAGAAGTGACAGACACTCGTAAAGCAGGACAGCCATCAGATGTCTACAGCTTCGGAGTCGTCTTGCTTGAACTGTTAACTGGGAAATCCCCCGTTCATGCTACTGGCTACGGTGAAATGGTGCACTTGGTGAGGTGGGTTCATTCAGTAGTGCGAGAAGAGTGGACAGCTGAAGTATTTGATGTAGAGCTGATGAGGTATCCAAATATTGAAGAGGAATTGGTGGAGATGTTGCAGATAGCAATGGCCTGTGTTATTAGGACGCCAGATCAGAGACCCAAGATGGCTGATGTGGTGAGAATGATAGAGAATGTCCGATCCATTGAAACCAATAATCGGCCTTCTTCTGAAAATAGATCCGAAAGATCATCACCACTGCAATCTGCTGTATGGTCAAGTCCCGTGCCCTCACAATGAGCTCCTTTTCTTCGTCACTGTTGGTAATATTGGTCACTTATTTTTTAAACCTCACCTTCACTAGGTCTATACTGTTCTTGTTATTTACTCTTTTCTTGCTAATCTCGCCCCTTCCTGTCCTCAGTGCGACAGAATTTCTACCACTCAGCCTGCCTGATACATGTTAGCTAAAATCGGGTTACGCCCGCATCTGCCTTTGCTAATGCCAGGTATAGGCAGTGGCAGCAAAATGGATGTTCCGCACATATTTGTGATTCCAAGCAACTGATTTATGCTCATATTTGCAAGAATTTCCGGTTCCTACTTTTCATCCTAGTTCCTTCTGATGCTGCACATTTGTTAGGATTGGGATGAATAATTGTTGAAAGGGATGTGATGGATGTGTGTAATTGGCATTAATCAGATCACGCATGATCTTTTGGTCTTGTTATTTATGTGAGCTTTCCAATTCGTGTGACCTCTAGATCATTATCAAGAATGTTGCTGGAATTCTGGTGAGTAACCAAACTGATCGGAAAAGTGAGACTAGAAGGTGAAGTTGGCTATGAGAGGATTGGTTGGGTGAACTCTTACACAAGTTCTCTCCCTACATTCAGGTCAATCCTATAATCCTCAAAAGGCCTCTTGGGACTTTCACCGTTGGATAGATAGATGATTTTTGCGCGAATTTTCTCCCTACATTCGGGCTACTTTCGGGTTGCGATTTGTTGTATTTCGATCCGACAGTGAAAGTACCAAAAAGTTCCTTCCGGGAACCGAACTCTTACCGCTGTGTACCCGGGTCCGTTGTGTAGGCCAAATAGTGCCTGCTCAGGCACTCTTGTTTTTGATAGGGGTGTGAAAAAAGCCCCGAAGGGCCGAACCGGTTCAGATCCGAGTAATTGTGGCCCGGCCCTTTTTTTCTTTTTCCGGGCCGTGCTGGGCCTAGCAAAGTCAGGCTCAATCTAGGCCCGGCCCGTTTGCACCCGCGGTCTCACCAACTCAACTACTTCTCTTGAACTTCTTGCTGGCTGAGTGTCGGCTTCCGCGACTGTGCTAAGAGCGTGAATGTTACCAGCTGCGAAATTCGGGTTTAATAAATCCGGCGTTGCATGTGACTGAACGTAGTTAGAGCCTTTTGTTATTGGGTTGGTACGATGGTGAGATGGTGCACATGCATTATGAGAGCTATGACAGTGTACGAAATTAGAAAGAAAGAATATAATCACGGGATTGGCGAGGAAGTAATCGAGGCTGAGGCCGTCGACAGTGGGGATGGCGAGGGCCCTCGGCCTCGCCTGGATCTCTCTCTCTCTCGGGCGCACACGCAATTTGCCTTTGTCTCTCCATCCCTGCATGGCCCGTGTCTGTGGTGGTTGGCGGGGCGCCAATGGCATCTCTGCTGCTTGAGTGCAGCGACGGCCGATGCAACCACCCTCGACGGTGGCTGGAAGGTGACCTCGCCACCTTCCGCTGCCTGAGCGCGTACCGACTTTACCGTTCACGTCAGCATTTTCATTAAAGTATTCATCGGAAGGATTGATGAACAAAAACTTGCATGCGTAGAAGACTACATTTGCACAAAAAAAGAAGATAAAAAACGAAATTACTCTAATACAAAAGAATTCAAGGATCCAACGTGGCCCCAACCCTTCTTTTCAAAGCCGTGTAGCTTATTATTAAATTAAATTAAAGGTGCTGCTTCACTAATCTTCCCCACTAAACAAAAGTTAAATTGAAGGGTACGTGATCTCATGGGAAGTCAAAGTAACCCGAAAGTTAAAAACTAAGGAAACACTCCAATTGCAAAGTCTTTTGTTGTTTTGAATGCAAGAAAAGATATTTCCCTTGGTAGAAATGTAAAAACGTTTTGCGGCAGCATTTACATTATTTTTACATTCATAACTTTTTCGGGTATTTATATTCATTCCGTAACCTTGACCCACGCGATTAGTTAATTATATTTGATTTGATTAACAAGGAATTTGTTCCACAACGCTGATGTGATCTAGGCAACCTAATCCATCTTAGGTTTTGACCAAGTATGAAGGGGGTATTTTCTTTTTTCTGTGTTTTCGATGATTAGGTATATCTAGGGTCATGGGTTCGGTTCCTATATTGAGGAATATGGATTTAAGTGGGAGGAGGGCATGGCGATGGATTGTTGTGTTAGTTTGTCTCCAGACGGCCGACTAATTAGGATCGTGTGCCCCGAGTTATAAAGGGGAAAAAAAAGGGAATATCTGGGTAACCCAATTCCAAGAGGATTCAGTCGCACTCATTGTATTTCGATCGAGCAACGTGATCCTCCCTCCTTCTCTCTATGACGAGACGGCTAACTTGATTGGAGTCGCCAGCTCCACACAAGTTCTTTCAAGACTGACCCGATGCGTCACGGGATGCGCGAGGAGCAAAGCTCGAGGGTCAACCGCGACAACACGTTGGCGAAAATCGTTCTGGGGTCAAAAATCGAAACGCCCCGAAAGACACCGATCGAGAATCGTCCTCGATCGCCGTTCTCTTTCGCGATATAATTCGAGATTCGCATCTCGATGACGAGAAGATTCAAAAGAAATCGACGAATCACCGGAGCACGGCCGGGCCCCAACCGATGCAATCAACTTCATTAGACGAAGGATTAATCTAATAAGCACGAATTCTAATTCAAAGCTTAGAAATGAGAATTCCTTAAAAACAAAGCCCACTTGTGAATCATTTAGGGGGCATTTGGTAAATTGCCAAATAGTGAAAATTTCCATTCTTTTGTTTCCAGAATCAGTTTGCGAACAGAAATCCGTTTGTTAAATTTTTTGTGCCCGGGCACAAATTTGCAAAAAATTATTCCCAGAATCAGTTTTGGAACATAATCAAGAAGCAAAAAAAAGTAGCTTATCGATTTTGGAACAATTTTTCCATTTCTGATTCTTCTTGATTTTATTCTTCCTTTTTGGTTTGTTGTTCTTCTTCTTCCCGGTTTGCCGTCGGCCACCGGCCAGGGCCGGCGAGGGCGGTTCGCGGTTGTGACGGTGAGGCCTCGTCCAGCCATGGCGAGGCCGACCTCACCGTCGCCACTCCCGAGGGCTGCAGCGAGGGCCGCGACGCCCTCACCAGTCATGGCCAAGGAAGGAAAGGAAAAAAAAGGAAAAAAAAGGAAAAAAATAGAAAGAAATATTACAAATTTAAAAATGTTATTAATAAAAAGAAATTTTATGTAATTATCAAATGTATTTCTGTTCTTTTTCTATTCTAAGAATAGAAATTTTGGGCAATTACCAAATGCCTTCAAATGCTTAAAAGTTGTTTCCGGGCACAAAATCAAAAGGAATTATTTTTTAGCAGAATGAATTTTCGTGCACAGAATCGTTACTATGCGCATCCGGCACCCAAAAGAAGGACCGGACCCGCTCATCTCATCCCAATGAAAAGAGAGAGAGAGAGATTGGGACATTTAGGCTGCGCATGGCAACTTGTCAAATAGTGTTTGATTCTGTTCTTTTGTTCCCAGAATCAGTTTGGGAATATAAATCCGTTTGTTTAATTTTTTTATTCTGGGCACAAATTCTTGCAAATTTGTGCCCAGGAATCAGTTTTGGAAGCAGAATCAAGAATAAAAAAAAAGAAGCTTCTTGATTCTGGGAACAAAAATGAGAATCAGTTTTTTTTTCTTCTTCTTTTTCTTGGTTTTTAATATAGCTTCTAATGTCCGACGCGAGGGCTACCCTCGCCGTATCTGGCGAGATTAAAATATTTTAATAAAAAAATATTATTAATAAAAAAAATTTACCGGCCATGGCCAGCGACCAGGCCATGGTGAAAAAAATAAAAAAAAATATTATTAATAAAATTTTTTCTAGGCCATAAGGCCAACAACCAGGCCATGGCGAAAAAAAAAAAAAAATTTTACCGGCCATGGCCGTGACCAGGCCATGGAGAAAAAAATAAAAAAAATATTTTCAATAAAATATTTTTTTATTAAAATATTATTAATAAAAAAAAATTTTACCGACCATGGCCAGCAACCAGGCCATGGCAAAAAAAATAAAAAAAATATTTATAAAAAATATTTTACCGGCCATGGCCCACCAAGCCATGGTGAAAGAAAAAGAAAAAAATTGTAGTAAATTTTTTTTAAAAAAAATTATTAATAAAAAAATTATTTATAAGAAAATTTTTTACTGGCCACGGCCAAAAAAATAAAAAAATTATTTTAAATAAAAATATTATTAATTAAAAAATATTTTACCGGCCATGGCAAAAAAGGAGGAGAAGAAAAAAAAAGAAAGAAATATTAAAATATTTAAAATGTTATTAAAATAGTATTAATAAAAAGAAATTTTATGCCATTATCAAACGCATTTTGTTTTTTACTATTTCGGAATAGAAATTTTGGGCGTTATCAAACGCCTTCAAATGCTCGAATCGGTTCCTAGCACATAATAAAAAAATCATTTCCGACTGGAATGCTTTTCGGACACAGAATTCTGGTTGCATCCATAAGAACAAAAAAACCAGAAGGGAAGGGAAGGAAGGAGAGAGATGGGGGCGGGCCCCACACAAAACACGCCATTGGCCAATTGATGAAGGAGGAAGGAGGAAGGAGGAAGGAGGGGGAGCACTCTCTCTCTCTCTCTCTGCATAAAAGGTCTCTTTCCAAGGTCGCTGCAACCTCCTCCTTCGTCTTCTCTCGATCGGTGACTCGGTCAGTGAAGAAGCAGGAGGATCTCCCCCTACCCCCACACCACAGGTACCTGCTCTCCTCCTCCTCCTCCTCCTACTCCTCCTCATTCTTCTGCTTGTCTTCGGTGTTCGTTCGCTCGCTCGCTCGCTGTTTCGGTGCGCGTGTGCTCTCGCGCGCCTGCGCCTGAGCTGAGAGGGAGACCTTCTTCTTCCGTTCTGGTGTGGAGATCTGCCGGCACCCCCCCGGGTTTTAGGGTTTCGTCGGTCGAGGCGATGGCGTCGAAGCGGATCTTGAAGGAGCTCAAGGATCTCCAGAAGGATCCTCCCACCTCTTGCAGCGCCGGTACTCCCCCTCCCTCCCACCTTCTCCCTCTCTCTCTCTCTTCCATCTCTTCCGATTCGGTTCGCCCTCCTCTGTACTTTACGTGTCCGGTACTCGTTCCGCGCGATCCGGCGTGTACGCGTTTGCTGATTTGTGACCAAGCGATGTCGGTGGTCGCGCGTTAGGAAGTGAGGTCGAGTTTACCTTCGCTGTGGATTTGCTTAGGTGACAAGTTCGGGAAGCGTTTGTAATTTCGCTGCTTGCTTGACTGCGCGGAATTGCGATCCGGACTGTGTATCACTTATCCGGTCGTCTTCTACGGCAGGTGCTCGCCCGGGACTTCTCATTTCTAGAGGGAAGTAATGAGATGTAGCCGGAGTAAAAACCTTGTTGACTTTAGAGAACTTGCTGTTCAATAGACAGGAAATTGATTAGCTCTGTTCAGATTTGTGGTTAGAGGGAAATTGATTGTTAAACTAAGTCGACATTATTCTTTGATTAACCGAATCGCTATGGACTGTGAAAGATTACAATCCAAATAGATATCTGCTCATCGCTTAGATATACTTTGATAATGTACTAGTTGGGTTACGTAGCACATATGCACCAAGAGCTAAGCTCCTGCGTGGGCTTCATGGCATCACACTCTAGATGATTACCTGCGGCCTTCACTTCATGCGGGCTCCACCCTTATCCATGACTGAGAATAGTTCGCAATCATATATATGTTGTGATGCAGAATTTCACCGATGTGCAGCCATAAGGGGCACACTGACAATGACCGTGTTAACTGTGCAATCAAATTCTGAATGTTGGTACACTAATTTGGTCAAATCGCCTCGCAATTGATATTTCGCGGCAGTCCTTTGACGTAGGTCTAAACTCAAATTTGCATGCACATAGAACATTTAGCATCTCTGCAGAGTGGATGATGTCACTGTTTTTGTATATAAGTAGCAGGTTCTTGAAGTGAAATTACACAGACTGCTTCATTTTCTTTAATTTGGGCAAGTGATTTCTGCACCCTGGTCCGTGGTGCTGTCATTGTTCTTCTGTGGCATTGTGCCTTTCTTATTTTGAAAATAAACTGATTTTATTTGGTTATTAAGCTATGAGATTGAACCTCCAATCTCTCGCCCCCAACCCCTTCCTCCGTCCACTGGCTAATTGCCTACTGGTGTAAACGATCTGAGGCTTTTATTGGTTACAAGAATTAGGGAAACGACCCATATGAGCAAAGGATGATGAAACATGAAATTTGCCACAATTTTAATGAAGAATTCTGTCAAAATTGGACATATATGTTAAGCTAAGTTTGGCGAAAGATCATTGATCTCTTGTTTAAACTGTATGAAGGCCTGTTTTATAAATATAGGCAAGCCGATGCTTTGCATCTTGTTATGGAAAATAACATATTTTCAGGAATTACACTTTATACCGTAGGATAAGTTGGTGTTAACTGTCTTTTTTGGAATAGCAAAATTGCTTGTTTGTCATCACCTATGTCTTTGGTGGACGCCTGAAAAGGTAATGAAGGGGAGGAAATGAGAGTAGATGTCACAAGAGAATGAATATTTGTTTGTAACTGAGTTTAGCCAAAAGAATCCCTTGCATAAGTGCCAATCATGGGTATCCGGTAGATTGATGCAATGAGTATTACTTTGGCTAGTATATAGCTGAGTATCATCGACAAAGGGTGCCAATACCGAGTTTTGCTCCACATACAAACCAAAAGACATGAAGTGTCTTTTCGAAGTAGTGAATGCAATTGTGATTATATAGACTACAACGTTTAAGGTGTAATTGGATGTGGAAGGCTTAAGAAAGCATTTGATTCCCATGCCAATGCAAGTTCTGTTTGATCTTTTAGATGATTCATAAAACAAGCCGATTCAGCCCCTCAGTTTTCTCCTGGCTTCTTGTGTTTAAAATTTTTTGGAATGGCAACTGACACAATTGGCTTTTGCCTTTTGGCTTTGTTTTGTTGAGTTACTTGTGTTTCTAGATGTGTGACTTCTTCGTAATTCTACTTCCTTTTTTTTTTTTTGGCGACATTTGGCATTGCTGATTCTTGTAAATAATTTTTTTTCCCATAATCCTACTACTCGCTATATTTTGTCGATGAATCTCTAAGTGATTTTTGTCTTTCTGTGTTATCAATTGTTTTCCTTAAGGCCCAGTTGCTGAAGACATGTTTCACTGGCAAGCAACAATTATGGGTCCGCCAGACAGTCCATATACCGGGGGAGTCTTTCTTGTTACTATTCACTTTCCACCAGACTATCCATTTAAACCACCAAAGGTATTGAAGGATGACTTAGCTGAAAGTTGCGATACATTACCGTGATGCTCTCTTCCTTTTGGGCCTTCATCATCTCATTCTTCCTGTAATTACCTAATCTTGTAATAGATGTTTTTCTTTTGTCAATCAAAAGCTCAGTCTCCAATGTTTTGGAAGGATCTGATCAAATAGTTGAGCCATCTAACAAGTCTTGGCTCTTATCCTGTTGCTTTCTTTCTTTTGGGCCTTCACCATCTCATTATTCCTGTAATTACCTAAGCTTTCTTTGGATGTTATTATTGTGTCAATTAAAAGTTCTGTCTTTAATGCTTTGGAACGATCTGATCAGATAGTTGAGCCATCTACCCAGTCTTGGCTCTTACTAAATTCTCGAATTATTTCCTCTTTGATGTCGTGATTATATGTTTCTGCAATGTGTTGCGCAGTAGTAAGGTAGTGTAGACTAGTAGAACAGAAACTGTGTCCACTTTCCGTTTTTGCTGCTGCTGCTGTTAGTACAATTTCTGTCAAGATCTTCTTAGTTATTTCATCAAGGTTGTTGCTTATCAATTCCTTGGTTTTCACAGGTTGCATTCAGGACGAAAGTCTTTCACCCCAATATCAACAGTAACGGTAGCATTTGCCTTGACATATTGAAGGAGCAGTGGAGCCCTGCCCTCACCATTTCGAAGGTGAACCTTGAAAGACTCTCGAGCCGTGTTATTTAATCTTTTTGGATGGTAGGATCAATTAAGGGCCATTACAATATAGAAAAATTTTGTTACCCACTTTATATGAATGTCTAGTGGGGCTGGAACAGTCTCTTAGTTAAGGTAAATTTGACGTGTTGAAGTACTGCTATTGTTTGCCTATGACTTGAAAACAAGCTATGCATTTATATTTCCAGTTGTAAATGTCAAGGCTTGTTTGAGATGATGCATTTCTAGCTTTCGTTCTCTTGTACTTTGAATCTCTTGCGCCGAATATACTCCACAAACAATTTTATCAAACTGCAATTTAGTTCCTGGAAACTGCATTGTTACCTGATGGCTAAACACTAGTTTCATTCTACTTTGTTCAAGACTTTACCTGCAGACCTCAATAGTTTTGTGAAGGATTTTAAAACTAGTCTCAAGCAATCGGTTTATTCTTTTCAATGAAGTCGGTCGGAGAAAATTTGTACAGATTTTTCTCGTAATTATCGTAAATGCTTCTTTGCAACCAAGAATGTCATAAAGTGTTTGGTTCTATATGTTCAGTAGCGTTAACATTGCTTTCTTGTAACGCTATCTGTTATTGTGACCTCTACATCGGGGTATATAAAGGTTCTTATTTCTGATTTCCAGGTGTTGCTCTCAATCTGTTCGCTATTGACGGACCCGAATCCTGATGACCCTTTGGTGCCGGAAATCGCGCACATGTATAAGACCGACAGGGTCAAGTACGAGGCCACTGCCAGAAGCTGGACCCAGAAGTATGCGATGGCCTAGGATGTCGCCGTGTGCGACTCCAGGAGGGAGGGAGGGTTTCGTGTCTCTGCGACTTTGGTCTTGCAGTTTCTATGTGTTTGTGAAAGACCGTAATTCATCTTCGCCCTTAGACCAGAACAAACGGTGTCTGAAAAATTACCCTCCCGACAACACACATGCTCTGCCGCTTTCCAATTGTTTGTATGTTAAATAAGTATTTCTAACTGTGGATACTTGTTTCAATTCCCTTACAGTGATTAAGTTAAACTGTGATTACCAAATTTTTTTTAGCCTAAAATACCGCTCTTCACTTCATGCTTGGAAACTGCAATTGGAATCTGGTCACGTATTGCCTATATGCGAACTGGCTTCCCCGTCACTGCTAAACAAATTAGCTCAGGCTTTATAAATTACTGAGGAAATTATTTATTTATAACCATTAGAAATATTGCCTGACTAGTATGACTTTGTCACGGTGCCTGCTGCGTGCGTGATACGGTACTCGAATAGTGTGATCTCATTCAAAGCAATCAGAGATTATTTGTGTGCTCTCTTCGAGGCCTGAGCTCGTCGCTTTATCTCTTCAGTCGCCAATTTCGTACCGAGCAAATTTGACTAGAAAGTCAAAGTAAAACGGAAAGGAAGAACCGATCGACAAATGATGGCAGACACTGATTTGAAAAAGGCGAACTCATAGGAGAAGTAGAATGCGAGGAAAGAGATTCGGGACGAAGAATGCTTGATCGACATTTTTTGCAGATGTTCATACTACTTCAGAAGTTTCGTTACAATCTAATCAGCGGATCGTCTCTAACTCCCCATCGGGCTTATAGGTTCAAAGTGTTCGATGTGCTTATTTGAATAGGAGAACGAAGGGAATGCGCCCGCTGCCCCAGTGAGCTCCTCGCATCAAATCTTGGTCATGAAAGAAGGAACGGTGGTGTCGTTGCTCCGGTTTTTGGCTAACTTCCTGACCGCACGTGACAACCGAGGTTCGAGCTCATGAAACACAGCTAATCTCGCGAGGATTTGCACTTTCAGTATGTGCTAGAGAAATTAACTGGACATTATGGGGCCAACAAGGATCATTTCTTCACTTCTCATTTTTCATTACTTGGGCCTTAACGGATGTTTTTTCTGTAGTTTCCTTTCTAATGCATCTACTCTTTTCGCAAATGCAAAGTCCAGCCACTCAGACAAGTAAAATGTTGCTTAGCAAAAAAGGGGGAAAGTAAAAATCATAATTTAACTATAGACCCAAGAACACAAAAAAGGCAAAAAGAAAAAAAGAAAAATAGAGGAAGACCCCAAATTTGCCAAAGATCTAAGTGCCTCTTTGAATGAGTTCTTGGGGTTTGGTGAGACGTTAGGGCCATCAGTAGAGCTCTGCACATTTGCCAAGATCGAATTGAATGTGGTCTGCACATTTCAAACGTGACGATCTCTTTTCGTGCTCTCCGCTGAAAAGGAGACACTAAAGTTCATAACAGACATCAGTAGAGCTACAAAGCCTAATGTCTAAGCGACAGCTCCATCTCAGTAACAGCCATTATTCATTCTCAAATCTGTCTCTGACACACTTGTTTTTGGAGCTCACGATAGGCTTTTCAAAGCTATTAAATTGGTTGTCTCCTGCCCAACTGAATCCTACATCTAGTGCTGTTCTGCTTGTCTTGGAGTAATTTGTCTGTCAAATCAAATGCTCTGGGCAGTAGCCAACTTTCACATCCTTTGGGAGCTTTGTTAGGTTGGTCTATGGTTTGTTCTTTTCTTTTACCTTTTTCCTTCGGGAAAAGAGAAACTCAAAATAGAGTCGAGCCTCGTGTAATCGAGGCCTAATTGTCTCTAGTGTTTTCCTAATGCAGTGCCTAAGGCCCTAAAGTCCCGTTGTAGCTGTCACTGTCAGTGTCAGCTCTCCATCTCCACGGTTTAACTTAGCTTAGCTTAGTAGCCCTCCGAACATAATCGACACTGTCACATTTTACACATCTTGACCAAGATATTTAACCCCCTTTTTTCCCTTTGAGATTCCCTCTGAAACTCCTAGTAATCTTACAGAAAAACAAACATCGCTTAATCTATTCACTCAGTTCAGTTTCAAGAGCCATATGAAGCCCGGAATGTAAGAAGCGAACACCCGAGAAGACCCGCATTTTCGAACCGTCGCATCCATTTTTCAATTGGGTATTCGTCCCCGTCATCAACAGAAATGGGATTGGAAGATAGAAAAAAGAAAAGAAAGAAAGCTCAAAAGCTAACAAAAGCTTAGCTGTATCTTAGCTTCTCTATCACCTGCACAGGGCAATGTGTCCCCTCATGTCTTTTCATGCCTCATCCCATCTCATTTGGCATTATGTATCCGCCAGCGACAAACGCGGTTCGATTCCTCAAATTACTTAAAACCCAAGTTGCGCACACCATACCCTCTTGGTTCGCACATTCCAACACGATGCTTCTCTTGCGGTTTTTTTATTCGGACAAATAAACAGCGCCAGTGTAAAGCGCCCTCGAGAGATTCAAAGCCAAAAAGGGTCGTCCGGCAGAGACTGGTGCGCACGAGTTGGCGAGGAGGGGAGGAGGAGGGGGAGGACACCAACCCCAGAAAACCAGGCCACCTTATCACCAGTTCGTGTCGTGATTTAAGATTCAGTTCAATCACTCCGCTTTCGGCTTTTAATCAACTCGCTAATCATGGTACTTTGTTGGGGGGAGTGTGGCTTTGTCTCTAGTGAACACAGGGTTTCGCCCCCCCCCACCCACTAAGATTTGTCCCACCAAGCGATGACGTGGCTCCTTGTCCTGCCGAGTCGCCACATTAGAGAGAGAGAGAGATAGATTTTGGCTTTGGAGGGATTCTTATTCCTCTAATCATTCCTCGATCGAGAGCTTAAATCATTCTCGGGTGATTTCTAATGATTTTGGCCATCATTTCGCCCCCACTTTCTTTCAGTGAGAAATTGAATGAGGGATTTGAGTGAATGCGACAATGTCAGAGAGACAGAGGCCCACGTTCGATGAATCTGGCCTTTCCACACACCCACGCACAGATTCTTAGGGAGAGATTGACCCCAGATGGGATGATGCTCGTGAAAATAGTAGATGTTGATGTGATTCTTTTGGGGTCAATTTTTTGGGAGGGAGAGAAAGAAAGTTCAGATGCTATTTTTTACCATTCGAGTTTGCAAACGACGATCTTATAACGAGATAAGTATATTGAAAGTTTTAAAATTTGTTATAAAAGTGTAATTGGTTCAATCAAATTCTTCGGTTAATTGTATTTTTTTAAAAATTTCAAGACTCGATTATATTTTTGTGACAAGTTTTAGGACTTGATTGAATTGCACTTTTTAAAAAATTTAGAATTCGATTGCACTTTCATAATAAGTTTTAAGACTTTTAAGGCACTTATCCCTTTAAAAGAAAACGAGTTCGCATGATGTCAAGAAACTCTAGCTTTTGCACGAACGAATCGTACGAATATCGACATTCCGCGACTAATCGGTGCAACGCAGCGAAGAATCACATTGGATTAAACCCATTTCAAGCACATGTAAACTCCGGTAACAGAGCCCCGGCCAGGGCAATGAACGTAGGGTTTGTGGGGCTATTCAAACAACTCCGACCCGACAACTTGTGAAGAATGATTACGACGCTTTGCACCATTTAAAGTCCGAATGCCTCGACCACTAGTGCGATTTCCTTCGCTTGAAGCAAGGGGAAGACATGATGCGAGACACCATAATTTTAAAAATTAAAAGAAGGCCTCCATTTCCCCAAAAAAAATATAAATAAAAGGAAAAAAGTATATATAAGTATAATAACCAATTAATTGGACCGACCATTTAATGCGTCAATGGGGACATTCGTTCCAAGGTGATATGGAGTTGACGGAAGACCCGGTGTTTTTGGTAACCTAAAACCCTCAATTTGTGGACACTTTATAGCCCACTTCCGAAGCACACGCCATTCGATTTCAACCCCCCTTCCACTTCCCAAAACGAAATTTTGTCTTAGAAAACATTAAAGCACCCCCCCAAAAAAAAAAACAATAAATAAAAAAAGGCCGTGGCAATTATAGTTCCTGTTAGGGACGACAACAGGTCGGGTCGAGTTGGATCGGATTCGCTTAAAGGCTATTAGGATTAAGATGTGGGTTTTCTATCGAGATTTCATTTTGAAAATATGGCAATTTTAATTTTTTCTCGAGGAGGTTTATATTTGGTTGGCAAATATCACATCAAGACCCAGCGTGAGCCATCTTATTTAAAATACCATCTTTGTTATTTTATAAAGTATGACCCGCCAATTTATACGGATCGTATTGCCCAGACCCGCGCATTCGAGGTAAATACATACTTTTCATTTCCGGCGTTTGCCATCGGTGCATGCATTCATTGTAAAGTCCTGTTGACGAGCATTCCAACCACGCTCGTTCATATCACTAACGTGTATCGACATGGTTTGAAAATCAAATCATATCACGGGTTAGAAAATGTCACCCGTTCCAAATAGAAAAGCGGGTTTCCAAAGAATCACGTTAACATATCTTTAAGTGTCGTCTCTTTAACCTTTTCCTTAAACATAAAATCAAACGGGTCCTAACACCAATTTTTTCCTCTTTTTTGTGTGTGCAATGAAAGGTGGAACGAGCTTGAGACTTCACCGGCACCGGTTCAATGCATATTGCGGGGGGCTCATCGAGTCTTGAGCTCAGGACGAGCGTGTAGTGAATCAGGGAGCCACGTGAGGCTCACGTGACCGGCAGGACTTGTCGGGTCGGGTCCCACCAGAGACGTCGCCGTTTTGCGCGCCAACGAAACAGGCCTCTTAAAGTGGGGCAACCTAAAATTAAATGGCTACATATTGTATTCTCTATTTCTTTCTCCCTTTTTCTCCTTTTTTTTCTCCTTTTTTTTTTTTACCCTTTTATGAGTTACGATCGTCGGTTAATTTTTTCACTGGAGCTGTTATTACTGGACACTAAATTATAGGTCCCGCGGTGAAAAAAGAAATCTTAAAAGAAAAAGATTTATTCCATTTAGTCGTTCACCTAAATCGTTCACTGAATGTTCTTTTAACTTCCATTTATTTTGATAATCTTTAATTTCTATGATTGATAGACCTATAGTCTGTCAAAGCGTAGCGATCAATGTTAGCAATTCACATCTCCGTTGATAAAATACTCGTACTACGTTATTTTGGAAAAATAAATGTTCTTTGGGAGTACGGCGTATTGCACACATATGAAACACATGATGTGATATACTTGGATAGAAGTACT